CGGTAGGTCTCCCTATGAACTTTTTTTTTACTTTCCGGACACATACGTATATATGGAGTAAAATTACGTATTATGGGGAAAATTATGTGATATAAAGCAAAAAAATGACCGGTTTTCAGCAGAAAAAAATGTAAAAAAAGAATTTACGGAAGCGTTTAAACTCCATTTTCTTAAAAACCAGCTCCATTTTTTAAAATTTTTGACATTTAAGATGACGGTTTATGTTATTTCATATTATTAAAATAATATTGACTGACTTAAAATAGTATTTGAATGAAAGAAAGAAGTCTGTAAGACGAATAGTTCTACTCAAATATTCACCAATTTGCACTGAAGTAGACCAGTATTCAAAAAACTGATTTTACGTAAGAAGGTATTAAAATTACGTTACAATCACATGACGTTACATCACAATACAATCTGAGTAAGAAAATTTAGTTGATCTGAGAATTAGCGGAATAACACAATGAAATATTTGGACTTTTTAGTGAAAATCCAAATACTGATCCTTTGTTTTTGTTTTGTTCCCAAATTCCTGGGTATCTAACGAAACGAAACTTCTGCTCGAGATTATCATGCACATTTACCTCATTAACTCAACAACCAATCCCTAGACCCTTTCTTCACTAGATTTTATGAAGCAATGCCAATCTCAATAATAATAATAATAATAATAATAATAATAATAATAATAATAATAATAATAATAATAATCTTTCTCAATAATTTGCGTTCTAACTTTCTCAGGAGTTCGAGGTATGATGGATTTTCACGTCCTTCTGTCATTTCTTTAGAATTTTTGCAGAAAATCTAGGACAGAAGTTCTCGTCCAACAGAAAATTGTTTCTATTTCGCGCCAGTGAAGATGTGTTTGGAATGTTGTCATCAGTGCTTGGTGCGAGCTTTTGCCTTCAACTATTTATTGTGCCAGAGAGGGGGAAGCAAGGTCATCGTTCAAGAAAAGATGCGCGAATAATACCGTCCCGTCCTCCTCCGCCTTCTTTACGCCGCCGAGCTGCAATCGCTGCGATCTAGGTGGCCGTGAGCTTGCGGGATCCGACGGATCTCCTCTGGCGCGGCGTGGCTGGAACTGGGCGCTGCGAGTGACAGGCGGCGCCAGGAGCCGGATTGGATTGGGCGGCGAGGGCGTTGAGGGCAGTCGGGCGCGGTGGGAGGAGGGAAGGGCCAAAAAGGCGAAGAACTGCGGAGGCGGGAGGGGGGAGACGAGGATTAAGGCGAATGACGGTGGAAGAAGGCAGCGGAAGAGGTCAGATATAAAGTGTGTTCTACAGATTTGGTAATTGTAATTTCTTCCAAACCTTTATTCGAAATGACGTTTCACTAACATTTTCAATAATTAACTGTCTATGTTTGAAGACTTTTAAATAGTTTAGGGTTTATGTATAGACATTACGTTTCATTTCATTTTCAAAAAGCCTTTACTGGCTTCAAAGCATTCTCGTTAGGGGAGTACTTTGAGTAGGGAGAGAGCTAACGTAAGCTCTGTAACTGCCCTGTTGGAGATAGGGAGACGCCGGGAAGACTCCTTCGTGATTGAGGGCGTATGGGAGAGAAGCGAGCAAAGGAAGTCAGGCGGATAGGGCGGGAGGCGGAGGCAGTCGTCCCCAACAGGGTGAGAGATGCATTTTTCTTCATAGGAAGAAGACACGTATAATAGTAATAAAATTTATAAACGGTACTCGTATTGAATGGATGAATACACTTTACTTGGGTAGAAATTTACATAAAAAGTATAAATTATCTTCGGAAAAATATGCTCCCAATACATGCGGAAAATTGTATTTTCAATTGGAAATTTCAATCTTCTCTCGTTCTACCTTCATTGTATGCTTTCTTTGTGAGTGTAGTATTTTATTAATAAGTTATTCCTTAATCAAAACATTTGTGCACAATCTTGTGCCAAAAAAACTCTTGGATAGCATGGAAAAATATGACCCGACCCATCCTTTTGTAACTGACATACGCTGGCGGAGAAGATATAAAATGAATTAAATACGGCTGATAATGAAAATTAATTGTAAAAGTTACAAATCCTTCTTATTCAACATTCGTTAGAGCGGCATTCTTGCAACGGCAGACCTTGAAGAGCAACCCATTTCACACTTGCCCACGCCCATACACTACTAGATACGTTCAGAATATTTGAATACTTGCACAACATGCTACTACTACTTTATTTGTTGAGGACGTTATAAAAAGAATCAATTCAAACCAATGAATAACTTTTATTATAAATATTTGTATATACAACTTTAGAGACCCAGACCACTACATTTGCTTCTGTGAAAGTTACTACTCAATAGAGAATGATGAAAATGCTTTCATTCAGAGCTCATATGCAACTAATGAACCCCTAGGTGTTTATCTTCGATCAACTCGAACGTTATTAAACAGTTCCTGAAACAAAACAAAATAATTTTCAGTTTTCGAAACTGCAGAAGTACTGAATAGATTTAAAACATTTCTTCTAAAATAATGAATTACATACTATACTAATTAGAACAGTATCGAAGGCCATCTAAATTCTTATAAAGGCAATGCTTTCTGAGGAGAAATAAATGAATGTAAATTCATAAATAGACATGGGTTGTTCTTCTATCATGCTATCCTTATCGTGAGTGCACATTATGTGTAACATAAGAAACACAAGTACAATTTGCATGCATTGAATAACAAGAAGACAAGCAGATATGTGTATCAGTAATAGATATAAATGAAATCTATACATTTAAGATGTCCTGTCTAATTTGTACATTTGTACAAATACGACACTTAAGACATTCGAATTAAGAACTAATGATTAAACCTGTACAAACAAATCACCCATTACTTAAAATTATTAACAATTCACTAATTGACTTTTAATCCCATCTAATATTTCAACATGATGAAACTTTGGCCCCCTATTATGATAATGTTTAATTATTCAAATTATAACAGGCATCTTTCTAGCTATACATTATACTGCCGACATTAATATAACATTCAATAGAATAAGTCATATTTGTCGAGATGTAAATTTTGGTTGACTTCTACGAACAATACATGCTAATGGAGCATCATTCTTCTTCATCTGCCTCTATATTCATGTAGGCCGTGGAATATATTATGAATATTATAATTTAATATACACTTGTCTAGTAGGAACTCTTATTCTATTTCTAGAAATAGCTGCTGCCTTTATAGGATATGTATTACCATATCATTCTGAGGAGCCTTTGTTATTACTAATCTCGCCACATACGCCACTACATAACGCCACATTAACTCGATTGTTCACATTCCATTTATTGTTGCAGCATTTGTAATAATTCATCAACTTTTTCTTCATCAAACAGGTTCAAACAATCCTATAGGAATTAATAGTAACTAAGATAAAATTCCATTTCATCCATACTATACTTTCAAAGACATAGGATTTTAATCATACTAATATCATTAACTATTCTATCACTTACCAATCCTTATTTATTAGGCGACCCCGACAATTTTACCCCTGCCAATCCGTTAGTAACCCCAGTTACTATTCAACCTGAATGATACTTTCTTTTCGCCTATGCCATTGAACGGTCTATTCCTAAAAAATGAGGAGGAGTAATAGCCCTAATTGCATCCATTGCTATTTTATTCATCTTACCTTTCACATCCCAATAACAAATTCCGAAGAATACCATTTTATCCTACCATGCCATTGCATCGTAATATTTAATAGTGCGAAATTGTTACGCGCCATGCCATGCAGGCATGCTGGCAATTCAAAAGCATTAACATTTTATTATCAGCTGTTACTATGAGCTAGCTTGTTTGGAATTCTGTTACTGGCGAAGAGCTTTCTAGTTCAAAGCGGCGTGCGTGAGTTACATCCCGACGTACCGACAGTATGCACAAGACGTTCCCCACAGCGAGGGAGAGGGCTAATTATTTAATTAGAGCTGAGGAAGTGCCCTCCGCGACCCCGACAAGCTGTAATCCGGAATTTCGTTTCCCCTTCACACTGAGATCGTGTCCAGGGTATTTCAATAACGGGCGGGTGCCCCTTTGACCTATCCTAATATTATTTTCTCTCATATAATTATGTAGGTTATAATAGATCTTATACGACCCTTTTTGATATCGAGGCCTGTCCCACGCGGGGTGTTTGCCCATCCTGATATTTGGCCTTGCCTCACGCGATCGCGTCACGGGCGACGCAAGTGCCTCCCTTTCTCTAACCTTTAATTGGGAACAAAAGAGGGGTTAAGAGTATATTGTTACTAAGAAAGTTTGTAAAGACATTCACTATAAGAAACCTTCTCATTTGATTGTTAGTGATTCGGCACGTCTACTACTAGGGTCATTAGTCCCGTACGTGTAGCCCATGTTTTTGCTCGGGATGTGGCAGTGATATTTCCCCCGCTGTATGGCAAAATCCGGCGCCGACCTCCCGTCGGCTAGCGGGGTTTCCCCAACCAGGTATCTCCCACCAGAGGGGCACCGCCCCAGCCGTTACAAGCTTTAAGCTCCCGACCGGTCTCCCGGCAGGCGTGTGCATGTTAAAGTAAGTGTGTGTAAATAAGGGGTGTGGATATGACAAGGAAGAGGAAGGAAGGATCACTCGCGGATCGTGTCCCGTTTGTTAGGGTACTGCTCCGGCGTTCGCCTAGTGTTAATCGGAGAAACCACTGAAAACTATCGATCATAGCAGCCGGACTCTAGAATTCTCCTGCACACAGCGACTGAATTTGTCATAATTTACAAGCTAGTGTCGAAAAATCCTGTCACCGTCGTGACTCAAACCTAGGACCTCCCGGTCAGAGGGACTGCAGTGACCTTAGTTGATACTCTGAGCTCTCTCTCCCGGTACTTTTCACTTGACTGAAATTTGTATAACTTGTTCACTTTTGACAAACGCTCAGTGTGTTCCGTTTACCCGAGTGCGGTCAAACACTTCGTCGGCGTGTTTCGGTTGTTGCACCTGCGCGCGCTAGTACGTGTCCCAGTTGGCGGCGGGCGGGGGCCGGCGCGCGGGGCCGCTGCGGTCGCGGCGCGCGCTGCTCCAGAGCGGCGGCGGCAGCGGCGGCTCCGGGGACGACTCGCTGCTCTCCGCGCCGCACGGCGCCTCGCACCCCCTGCGCAACCAATCCGCGCTTCAAGAGCTTCAAGCGGACGCCTTCGGGTGCAGTGGGGGGGAAGGGATCGAAGCCAAGGCGGTATCCAAAGGGGGATTAGGAAGGTACGCCCCCCTCCCCCTCCCCCCCCACACACGCACGCACCGATTTTATTAGCTTTCTCTACCGAGCTCTCTGCTTTCTTCAAACACTAAGTGGTATTTTCGAACCCTGAATTTCAAATACTTGTTTGTCGAACTTCAATAGTTCAAACAATTCCGTTTACAAAATTAAGTCATGACTCTTCTTTATCGTTCTAATGAAGTTAATAATTATTTTCGTGGTGCTAGAGTGTTAAATGCATTACTCACCTTTGAGAAGTTGTTTGGTATCGATCCTCTCCGTATACAGGTGTCGAAACATACGCGTGCCCATCTGTTCTACTGGATGGCCATGCTGAAGGCGCAAATTCATAACCGCTTTCTGGCGATGACTCTTCAGTTTTAACTTGAGGAGATCTGTTCACAATGATTTCTTTAGTAACATTTAGCAGAAATATTCCTAATTATTCTGAATATTTGGTTAAGTAAGATATATCTTCGTCCCGCTAAAAACTGTTATAAATTCAATGCACACACGTCAATAGCAATCGCCTAATTGAGTGTGATTGTATATCACTTAATTTCAGTCATTAACTTTACGTATAATTGCGTTAATTTTATTACTGTATAATAATGAAGGGCACCTGGTGTCATTAGCATTATGTGACTTCAGTTCTCCAAAACTTGAACGTTTTTGAGATTACACAACCCTTCCAGAATCACAGGCAGAAAAATAATAGCGAAGAAGTCCTGTCGACCTTGAAGAATTAAAATTTGATTACTTTTTGCCTGACGACTTTGCAAACCACATGTAATTCAGGAAGGAAGTTATAGAAACATTAACATGCTGGTTGAAAGGTAGTTCTCAAAGAGTTTGATGAAATCTTTGGGGGCACGAGAATGCAAGGCTTTCATATTAAAAACGAGTCATTTAATAGTATGTTATTCATATATTTCATTTGATATGCAAATCATTTACTAATTCATAATGGGATGATAGCAAAATTAATATTTATAAACCTAAAAATGCCTCTATCTTAGATGCTAGCTATAGGATTTTTTTAAATTCATTTTCCTTGCGGTCAGATGCATTCCATGTAAATTCAATTTAAAATGTTATTTGTTTTATAAATTAAATTTCATCCATGTAATAATACAGTTGAACTTATAAAACTCCAAAAATGGCTAATGCATGGATTTCTATTTCTCGAAAAATTCCCTCCCGATAGATATTGATTCCAATCGAAGCTTTAACAAAGAGATACATAAGATTAAAATATATAAAACATTAATGGCACCAGCAAGAGGTCAGAATCACAAACAATCAATGAGAAGTATGTTTGCATGTAAAAATACAACTTATTGTTTCGTAATTCATGTAAGGAAACCATTACTTTCTTTTACTGTTTATTAATTGAAAAGATGCGGTACGCGACCGATAAGGTACAACATATACGTAGAAATCGTAGTTAGCTGCAAAGTAGTCTTGACTCTACGAATTATGCATACAGCAAAGTAATCGTGGCCATGAAATGATATTGCTACCATCTCGTATACACTGAAGAGGCAAAACTGTTACAGCCATGCATATTGAAATGGAACCAATCAGAGAATACGACATTCCATTCTATAAGACAACCAGATTCTGAAACAGTTGTTAGATCGGTTACTGCTGCTACAATGGCGGAGTATGACGATTGAAGTGCGATTGAACGTGGTGTCATAGACGGTGCAAAAGAGATGGGGCACAGCATCTCTGAGTTCGCGATGAATTTGGATTTTCCCGTACGACCATTTCACGAGTGTACTGTGAATATCGAGAATTCGGTAAAACATCAAACCCTGGCATCGCTGTGGCCGCAAAATATCCTGCAATAACGAGACCGACGACAACTGAGGATAATCGTTACACAGAACAGAAGTGTAACCCTTCCGTAAATTCCTGCAGATTTCAATGGTGGTCCATCAACAAGTGTCAGCGTGCGAACTATTCAAATAGACATTATCGATATGGGGTTTCGGTGCCAAAGACCCGCTCGTGAACCCTTGATAACGGCACTATACAAAGCGTTATGTCTCAACTAGGCCCGTGAACACCAACATTGGACTGTTGATGACTGGAAAGACGTTGCCTGGTATGACGGATCTCGTCTTGCATTGTTTCCAGCGGATGGGCGTGTACGAGTAAGGCGACAACCTCATCATGAATCCATGAACCTTGGCTGTCAACAGTGGACAGTTCAAGCTGGCAGTGGCTCTGTGATGATGTGGGGCGTGTGCAGTTGGAGTGATCTGGGGCCTCTGATACGTTTATATACGACTCTGACAAGCGACACGTAAGCATCCTGTCTGTCACGTACGTAAGCATCCTGTCTGATCACCTACACCTATTCATGTCCATTGTGCATCCCGGCGGACTAGGGCAATTCCAGAAGGACAATGCGACAGCCCGCGCGTCCAGAATTACTACAGATTGGCTCCAGAAATACTCTTCTAAATTTCAAAACTTCCACTAGCCACCAAAATCTCCAGACATAAACATTATTGATGACTTGCAACGTGCTGCTCAGAAGAGATCTCCATCCCCTCGATCTCTTGCGAGTTTATGGGCAGCCCTGCAGGATTCATGATGTCAATTACCTCCAGCAGTACTTCATTTATTAATCGGGTCCATGTCACGTCGTGCTGTGGCACTTCTGTGCGCTCGCGAGGGCCGTACACGGTATTAGGCAGGTGTTTACAAGTATTAGGAGTGTACACAAAAGTATATGTGTACTTCTGGTAGGTTGAAGGCTATTTTTTTTAATTTTGTTATTATGATCAAATCTCAATTTCTCTATTAAATATCACTGTAGTTCCAATATTCTACTTTTTATATCACTGAAATTCTAATATTGAATAGCTGTAAACTACTGCTTGTAAACTATCTGCTGCCGAATGTGTGGAAGATGGGATCCTGGAGCGGCACAAATTGACTATTCGGAAAAGACACAAGAGCAAATTCAAGATTCTTTCTTCGTCGTCGCATGACGCAGCTGCATTTTAAACTGTGAGTCAAAGAATTGAGTCAAAGAATGTAAAATAAGGATGAAAAATAGCTGATTAAAATTATCAAATATTTGGATTTTTCTGTCACAATTCAAACTGTTTTGATGATTTTCCCGAGTCTCTGTGTATTTAACCGAACCACTGACATCTCTCACATAGTCTGAGGCTGCTTATGTTTCGGTCAATATATGCATATAACTTAACTTCGGGAGGTTTCAGCTCACCTGGTAAGTTGTAAGCTACCCAATCAGAGTGGGAGGCATTTGCCCTGGATAGGGATGCTATAGCTTTCATAATAATAGTAATAATAATAATAATAATAATAATAATAATAATAATAATAATAATAATAATAATTAATAATAATAATAATAATTAATAATAATAAAATGCATATGTTCGAAATTATAGATCCTAAGATTGCATTAATTCTTACTGAAACAGTTATTAATATGATATAAAACTCTGTTTAGTTGTGTGTTGTAAACTTATCTTTTTCTTCCTATTTGTGTACTTTTTTATAAAAAAATATCGGTAAGAGAGGAGAAAGACACTTCACTTCGATAATCGACAATTTGGACTCCTGCTATATTCCGGTTGCAGGATGCATCATATGATGAATTTCATATTTTTGCGATAACACAGAACTTTCATAGCTGTAAAATTAATATTAGTCGGACATGATACAACTCATTTTGTAATTAAAATGTCTTGGTTAATCTTGGTTAATTTCGAAACATATTTCTCTTTAATTCCCTAGGGTATCATAGTTAATTTGAGTCCCTTGAAGCTTAAAATTGTTTTTAAAATCTCCTTCGGGTAGTGAGACACTTAATCACCGTAATACCAATGTTAAGTAGTGTTATATAATTGGATAAAAAATTATGTACGCAACTTTCACGGACGTCTCTTAGACATACTTGATTCAGAATGTCAATCTCTGCTCCTGTAAATAGCTGTTTCCGGGAAAGTGAACTCACTGCCCATTCATATAGTAAATATTGTTTACTCACCGGTACGTCGGTGTATGGTACCGGGCTTCTCCGTAACCCCGGGAAGGTACAAATTGATGTTCTGCTCTTGTACGTGACGACCATATTGGAGGTGGAAATTCATAGCTTGTCTCCGGAGACGATTCTTCTGTTGCAGCTTGTGGAGATGATCTGTTCACAAAGACTTCCTTACAACGTTTTATAAAAATTATGGTTTTCTGTGATTTGAGCTCAAGAGCTAATGTGTCTTCTTTCACCTCTTTAAAATCTTTGAATTTTATAATGATAATTTGTGTAAAATTAAAATATATATCTCATTTTTATGGTATTAATATACAGGTATGACAAGTTATGTCCCAAAATTGTTTATTCCTGAAATTTAATAGGCAACACAAGTAAAGAGACATTAATATCAATTTTCACTATTGAATCCTAAATGTATTTACTTGATTTCATTTATTTAAAAATGTTACCTAAACTCTCATGTAAAGTATTATCTTTCAGTTTGCTAAGCTACACACTCAAGAAAGTGAGGTAATAACATTGATTAAAAACTGCAAGAAATATTTTATAGAATGTGTACTAATTAAAATCGATTGTCTTTTCTAAATACTTAAAAAACGCATCGTAAGAAGTTTGCTTACTCAGGACTCTCTGCCTCTTCTGTGCACTCTTCAACACATTCCTCCACAAGCCTGAAAACATTAGGCACTTCATGAATGCGCGTTTTCTAAACGGTACTGTGACAATTATTAGATTTAAACTCGGGATTCATTAAACTTTTGAGGATAGTAAAACAAAAAATAAATTATAAATTATAATTAAATGAAAATAAAAATAAAAATTGTAATAACAAAAAAATAATATATGAATTACAACTAATATTATACAAGAACTCATATGTTGAAAATGTTCATTAATTTATTTGTTATTACGACAAATTCATCAAACGAAATCTATTTTTTGAGAAAGTACATGCACGCGTGTTGCATCTCGCTTTCTGAATCGAGATGAGATTAATGATTTGTTACTTGTCCTTTGAAGGGGCACTTGAATGGTACACGGTGAAAGCAAATACCTCCTTTGATGAAATTTTATATTTTGACATTATGCAATTGCGGGAATGGGTACTATATTCTAACACATTAAACTGAAAAAAATCCCCAATCTACATAATTATGCGAGAGAAAATAAATATTTTCCCCTGCGTTAGCGAGCGCGTTAAAACTTAGAATTCAATTTTTGTGAAATGCATTGAAGTGGTCTCTTTTACCCTAGTAACCTTCACTAAGTTCAATTGAACGGATCAAGTTCAATTGAATTGAACTTGTCAGACGTCGCTTGACTGCAATCAAGCTTTCAATTGAATGCAATCAAATTAATGCTTGTCTGTCGTCATTTTTCCATTACGTCGTTTTGGAGTGCGAGGTGCGTGCTAGTTGCACTCAATCTAAAGAAGTCAGTCGAAGAGACAGCGTCAAGGATTAAACACATTCGTAGCCACCATATGGGATGATCAAGTGGTATCACGTTCACAAAGAGATGATTTTTTCCTTTCACGTCAAGAGCTAATGTAAATTTTAGAGTTATAATAAAAATGTTAATGATTTTAATGATTCATTTTTTTCAATAATTGCTTTTGAAAGTGATTTTGCATTGTTTTCACGCCTTTCGGTACCCCTACTTTAGCTAGAATAAATGCATTTTTTCAGGACGATTTTTGTAAAAATAAATTCATTTTTCTTGCCTATGTTAGATTAAACGAAGGCCTGAACTTCCAGACTCTAGTGATAACACATCTAGGTCCCATAACCTTTCATTTAAAGCAAAAGTTACACAGTTTGATTGAGTACAAAGCTCAAAATTTATTTCTAAACGTGACCCTATCATGTTTTAATTTTGAAGTAGTTCTCTCCCGTAAAAAACAAAATTTTAGAATTCAGCTACCCCTTACATAAATAATAATATTTTGCAAATCAAAACATGAACTTAAGATAGAAAATATGTTTGTGTTAATATGGCACGTCACAGTTCGTATGCGAAAAAAATGGTGTGTTCTGGTAGCTCTCTACCTGAATGAAAAAATTCTAGGGTATATTTTCAATTAAATTTGTATTTTACTATTATATTCGTTTAATGGAAAAATGTACTAAAATAAAAATAACTAAAATTTTGGATATTGACACAAATCGCAATGTTAAACGGAAAAAGGAAAATCTCAGAAAATATGAAATAATTAAATTTTATTTTTTATATTTAGAATTGTTTATCATAAAGAATGGGCTAAAATCAGTGAATTTTTAAATAATTACTTTATTTGTGATGCAATTTATTAGTAGATGATAGGTTTTGTAAAAGAGCTGAACCGATATCTGAATCTGTCTGGGAAACCTCGAATTAGTAATAGTAATAATCTATTCAAGTTCATTCCCTACAGAAAACTCTAATCAACAATTTACAAGAAGATTTATCTTTTTATCAACCTGTATCTATTTATTATCATATTTTATTATCTCAAATACTTTTAAAAATAGCCGACTGAAAATGTGGGAGAGCCCTTTTAAAAATTACCACAAAAGACCTTAACCATACACAAGGGTTGAGGGTAAATTAAGATATCTCGAAAACGAAAGCAGAATTTTAAAAAAAGGCTTGAAGCATTTAAAACAAAATAAATTAGTGTATAATGACTAGAGACAGTATATCTATGCCAATGCCTCAATCAACACCAAGCCTTTAAGTAACAAAATATAATAGAGATTTAGGAAGCCGTTACTAAATATACTTTGACAGGTGATAATGGAAGAGAAAATAATCAAGAGCAGAATCTGTATGGTTATGTACAAAAAGTAAATAAAGTATAAAAAACATTTCTATAAAAAAGTAACATATATCAAATCAAAGTTTGTAAAATAGCCTATAGCAATACACAAATTAGAAGCTGCAGGTTTTACCATTCGTGGAGTCATTAAAATTTTCTAAAGGCATTAAAATGTCTTAGGAGTTAGTGTTTGAAGTAATGAGTGTCCCTGCTAAGGAGAATTTATATAAGTGTTAAATTCAAATTCTGATTTGAAATTTTTCCAAAACGTAAAAAATATTATTTGTGATGGAAAATCAGAAAATGTAGAATTTGGCCTCACATTGGCTCAAATCTCATCTTTGACGTATGCTCCAACTATGACTTGTGTGGTAGAAAACACTTTCTACATTTCAAAACATTTGTTTCACACAAAACGAATTTCTCAGAGTAGAATTGATAAAGATTGTAAATTGTAGGAAAAGGCAATAAAACAGGAAATATTCTACACTCAAATTTGATTGCGCAGATTTTGACAATTTCTGTTCTGCATTGGGCACGTTTGGCTATTTGATAATGAATGGTTGCATGCATATTTTAGTATTTTATAGTTCATGGAAATCCTGTTTCGAATAATGACTAATGAAAGTTAGATAACGGAATATTTGGTGATTTTTTTACGTTTTTCAGGTAGAGAGCTACCTTAAAAGGTTGACATTTAGACGTAGAATATCGAGACATAATACTGAGTAATGTGTAAGCGAGTGTAATAAGTATACATGCATACTGTGCAGCGGACGGTTGCTCTTCTTTTTTAAATCGAACCGTTGGTGCTGCTTCTGGAGGCTCTCTCCTTGACCTGGAAATGTAAACGCGCTGTAATTGAAAGTTCATGTTAACATTTTTCATTTTCTTTCAGAAAAATTCAAATAAGTGCTACGTATGTGATTTCTTATTTACCAACGTTTTATTCGTACCGTAAGCAACGTTCGATGGCTTAACTACCACTATATTTACCGTTCTTATAGATTTCTTCACTTACACTTTAAACTAAATGTGTTTATACACGCAAGCAAAATTTGTGTGAAACGCGTAAAACAATTTCAACTTGGCACTTAAATGACTAGCAGTCTAAAAAAATGTGAACGCACCTAATGTGGGCGGGAATTTCTAATATATGGTTTTGATAAATATCCGGGTAATGCTGGATAATCATAACCATGAATAAAAACGGCAATATCCTTGGTTCCAAACTCAGTTAATTTGTTCACTAATTCATGCAATGGCTGATTCGCTTTGCCTCCATAAATTCTCCACTTACGATAGACGACTAACAAAATACTTCTTGAACATTTTTCACTTAGGCGCACAGTAACTACCCCACACAATTTCTTGATAGATCAAGTCCTGGGGGGTACAAGTCCCAGGGGTAGACACCTAAGGCTTTCCGCCTTTATCCGCACCCCCGCAGTCGCTCAAGTACTTCGACAGGCTGTTATCCGAGTTTCTGCCGGAAAGCAGTTTGCCCTCACGGCAACCTCCCCATTCAATGCCTGGGTTGAGGCCGCCCTGCCAGCTCAGAGCTTCTAGCTATCCAGGCTACGTAACTTCTTAAAGTATAAATTTTATCAGAAAATAATCGCGTAATATAAACTATGCATACGTAAAAGCGACTAATGAAGTTTAGGCTTTCCGCCGAGCAGCTAAAATGTCGCGACTCCAAGGGAGTTGCGCTTGAGAAAAGGTGAGGCCAATTTGCCCCTGTTTTGTTTGTGGACATAACAGTAACTTCACTGTTTGTGCACTTTTCTTGTGCTCAATGGGGTGTTAGAGGGAAATATATTAATTATAATCTCTCTCCACGATCTCTCGGCAGTAAGTCGATTCCTTCACTTCACGATAAAGAATAAGACCCTAAATATGAATTCCGTTTGCCTTTGCCAATAGTTTTTATTACTACAGAGCTAATATTATCTTTATCAAATCTTGACAAAAATTCTCGTTGCAATCTGTATTCACAATTCAACATAATATTAGGTCAAAGCTTGAGTATGGGTGTCAGAGCTCATGACAACTCGTTCAGATAGAACTTCTCTCCCATAGTATCACACACACTTTTTTATCGTTAGGTGGATAAAATAATAGATGAAATAGGATGGAACTGGCCATTGCTCGATGGTAAGGATTGAAAGAATAAGGAGAAAAGAAGAGATAATATTGTCTAATGATGAAAAGGGGATGATAGCTGGGAGCGAAGATGTGACTAGATAGAAATAGATAGTGCCTACGTATGAAAGAGAAGAATGTATGAATTGTAGAGGTCGAAATCTTGAAAAAATATTAGAAAGGAAGTGGAATATTCAGAGCCAAGTGGTTGAAACAGAAGTTAAGTAAAACAAATACGTTTTAAAATTTGTTGTTCGAAAAAGATAATTTCATGCAGTACGAAAACGATGCCTCATCTGACTCGTTCGAACTTCTTACCTGAGCGTTTCTCCTGTAGCTTGCTGCAGCATGAGCTCCCTGTCTCTGACTCTTTGTTCTCGATGAGCTACTCGTCTTCTTGTTCTCTCTCGAGTTTCCTCGCTATATTGGGAGATAAATTTACAAATGTGTTTTACGAAATTTCTACAGTGCGTTTGAAAAAGCAAGATCGTAATGATAAATCTAGTTTCTATTAGTGCGTACTTACTTTTGTTGTTGCAATCGTCTTGCGATTTGTACTATTGGACTCTCAGTTGGTCCTTGGCCGAACCTGGAATGAACAGTTATACAGCATTTAATGCAAACAGGAATTCCGCAAATCAACACGGAATAAAATTCTAAACTTATTTCATACGTAAAATACTCATCAAACTTCAGAGTAACTCATAACCTACATCTTGGACACATACAAAATTTGAACTAAGGGTTTAGTAAAACCTCCAGTATCCTAGTGAACTTGAAATGATACAGTAGATATCATACCAAAATGCTCTATTCATGTACCATTGGAAATTGTTAATACTATTGACGCTATTTTGAAAATGTGTGCCAAGTTCCAATACCCTTTAAGAGAAAAGCAACCTTAGCAGCGAGGAACTCCAAGTACTTCCAAATTAATGTGTTAAACTTGTATACGTTATGTATTACCCCTTAACGGCTTCGGAGGCGTAAAGTTCCAGAATAGTATTTAACAACGTGGGGTCGTGGGCGGTTCGAAGTACAAGTGTTTCTGATATCTGGTAGAGTGGTTGCACTCCCATACGGTACCATGCATTAGCCCATCCTTCGTGTCCCATCGTGTACTTAAACGACAAATCCTTCTGACAACAATATATAATTAGTAGAAATTAATAACTTTTCTACGAGATTTTTGAATGTATGACTATTCCTGAACCTATAAGCCAAAGTATATTGCTTCTGAAACTGTTGTGCAAAATAGCGTTTGTTCGACAGCTCACTTCACTTATTCTTAATAGAGGGATTCCACGAATAAAATAGCTGTAGTTAATACGAAGTGATAGGAAGTCAACTATACGAAGTGATTGCATTTTGCATTCTATTCGTCACGCTTAATCCACACTCGACCGAATTAATTTTGCAAGAATAGCGCTAGTCCATTTTTCTGTCCGTGCGTGGAGAGCCATTGTTGAAAATGTCTGGTGGATTCTTCTTGCAACTTTTATCTCCAAATTGTTGATGTTACTAAATTATATAACTAAAGCGCTCGAAACTGCCAACTGCTGGTTATACTACGAAAATTTCCCCCCCAGGAAGTAGGAATAGCGAATGGCGCGTTCTGAGGCGAATAGAAACCACATCTGTGAACTATTGTGTTAAAAATCTAGAGCGTAATGATTTTTTCACGAAGTTAATTAAACCGCATTACTTAAATATAATTTAACACATACAGATCAGGAAACTGCGGCAGGGTTGTTGGCCAGTCCCTGTTTACAGGTCTGGAGATCGGCGTTTGCCTGGAAATAATTTAATAACAGTTTTTATCGGTGCACAAGAACAGTTTTACATCGCAAAATATAGACATTTTTAAAACTGAGTATATCTGTTTATTCTCCATACTAACGATTTATTTTATTCTATATACCAACAGTTTTGTTTACTATCATTATAAAAATTTTCCTAGTAAAAATAAATCATTTTCTGAAAGTATTTCGTCACTTTGAAATTAAAACCTAATTACTTATGATTAATTACTAAGTGATAAAGTTTTATTTTTTGATTACCAAGTATTAAGATTTTATAGATGAGGCACTTTTTTATGCGTCGTCGATTTTTTTTTCGCAGACTGCACATCCTATTAAGGGCAAGGGCCTCGTGCTTGAGCAGGGAATTATTAACACTTCTTTAACGAAGTGATAGGATAATGATGATGATGGGTGAAAGGACGAATCACAAATGCATCCATGCCCGAGGCGAGATTCGATCTCGCGATCCTTCGATCCGAGATCGCCTCGACAGGATCGTGATCTTGGCTACATTTGCGTCTTCG